ATTCTCCACTTTCCTTCTTTTTATTTTTCCATTGTGGATGTCCCCTGTATGATTTAGCTTGCGCGACCTCCTGTACTGCTGCGCACGCCTCGCCCTGCTGGGACACCTGCCGAGACACCTCCTCGGACTGGCGCACAGCTTGAATAGTTTGGGCTAACGTGAGTGTTGACTCTAACTGCAGTTTACGTGACAGCTCCTTGTCGTTAATGCCCACTACTATGTGGTCTCTAATGTGCTCCTCTCTGTGTGTCCCAAAATCACAATGTTCGGATAGGTCGTACAAGGATCTGATAAACATTTCGACATTCTCACCCGGCCRCTGCATTCTCTGGTGGAAACATGCGCACCCGTGAATTACATCCCTTTTTGGGTAGAAGTACTCGTCATATTTTCCTAACACGACGTCAAATTTCTGTTGATCATCCTCCTCCGCAAAAGTGAAAGCCTTGAAAATGTTTTCAGCCCACATGGCTTATATTAGGGAACTGACATGGACCTCGCCATCCTCTTTGTTCAGTTTGGTAGCCAACCGAAAACGTTTGAAACGTTGCYTCCAGTCTTCCCATTCCATCGGGCGGTCGAATGGAAAACTCTCCAGTGGGTTGAACTTGGCCATTTTTCAGAAGTCATGCGTCCAACATCAACTTCTGACACCATGTAAAGTAACTGAATGTCCACACGTGTATCCAGTTTTACCAGAGCTTCCTTTATGCTAGCTCGGAACCAATTCAACACAGCCAAAAACAGAGCAGAACCAAACAACAACATAGATCACTCCGCCGGCGTTTCCATGATGAYCAGCRTTACAGACAACACAGTAACTACTGTCGTAACTAACTGCTGAAATATCAGTCCTTATATGACATGTAGTGCTGCATAAGTTAAATCTCTTGTCTCTGGCATCCAGAGAGATGCGCAGTGCAGCAACTCTAACGGAGCCGAGCGGCTTCGATCAGAAATCTTCTCCCATTAAGCTCAGTCTATGACAACAAATCAGCTCCAATTACTAATAACTCAGAAGACAAATTTGAAAAGCCTTCCAGCTAAATCTAACAGAGATGCGCAGTGCTCCAGTTCGTTATTTCACCATGGAACATCACCTGTCAGTCACCTGGGGCACAACAAGTGGGGGTGGCCACGGGGGGCTGTGTACCACCAGTTTTATCCTCTTGAGTCCCAAGCTTTTTGCTTATTTAAATATTTCCCAGCTATATAAGATTAGTAGAACCTTATCAATATAAATGTTTTTGAACAACTAAAAATTAAAAATATAAATATACATTTTACTTAAAAATAAAAAATAAACTTAAAATAGTTCGTCTAAATAAAGACAACTAGTATCTGTCGGAAACTCTTACTATTACAGCAGATGATTCTGGCAGTGATTAAATGATGGTCTGGCTGCAATCAGTCTGGTGTTTTTACTTTCCTCTGTGGTACTAATGTCTGCATGTACCAAAACACAACAACCCTGTAAGAGCTGTTCATATG